ATCTGGTCATTTATGGGCCTTTGTAGACTTGCATTTGTAGTTAATCGTTTTACAATGCCACCAATACCATCACATGATGACTTACCATGACTTTTAGCAAAAAATGTCCACTCTGCATCAATATCAAAATCATTTTTATGGAGACATATTGTAAAGGTTTTTGTGGTTTTTATACTGCGCAGCACAACCATCAGAAAAATAAAGAATCTTTGAAATTTTAGGATGATATTCTTTTAAATAGTTTACTATTTGTGTTTGAACTTCATACACAAAACCAGTGTCATGCTCATTATCTTCTGACATGAAACAAAACGATTTTTCTTCAAGTTGGTCATTTTCGTTTAATAAATAGAGGGCAACAGGGTGCAATGTGCATTGACTTTTGCACCAATGGTAACTTTGGATTTCATCTTGAATCACATAAGTGAAGTTTTCTGCAAAGTCAACTAAGACAATACAGCAGTTTTTTGCTAAATTTTCCTTTTGTTGCTTTAGGTATCTTGATTGACATTTTGCAATGTAGGAATGAGCTGTTAACTTGTTTATTTCCTCTGATAACATCAATTTGTATTCTTCAATTGTTGTTGTCTGATAGATCAATGTTGTTCTGTCTGTTTTCTGCCACTGATTGAATGACACCTCCTCGTCATTGTCATTATCAATTAGTTGTGCATCCAGAAACTTCTTTAAAGAAACCATACTTGGACAGTTCGGACATCGATGAACCATGCACTCGTTACTTGTCACATCACAAACAACTTTTGTCATCATATCTTTGTAAGTACATTTCATTTGTATAGCATTGGTCAAGAGTATTGCATTTTGATGGAGGGTACATACACAAACAGAATGAGTGCCTGATGCTCCAACAGTTATACACCATTTTGGTCTTAAACTGCAAAACTTCGAAAATCCAATAACTTCTTGAGGATATTAAGTTTTAAAAGAAACATAAAGTTCTTTAAGATTACATAAAATAAGGCGCTTTTGCATGTGTTGTTTTCTACCAATACTTACGTAATCTTTTTTACCAGGCATTTGTCTAGTAAATTCTTCATCATGGTATATATTGTTGACTCTATTTAATGTTATTTCTGAAAATGTTTTTCCTTTCTTAGTGCCTGGAACTGAAAAAATCCCACTTATTTTCTTTAGTTTGTGAGCTTCTTTAATTTGGTATATAGTGACATTGAAATATCTTGCAGCAAAATTTTTTGACCAAGACTCGGGTGTAAATGTTAATAACTGAATTTTAGTTTTTTGGTCAGAAACAATTAACTTTTCTTTTATTTCTGCTCTTAGTTTGTCTAAATCGTCACATTTACTTTTGTCAATAATTTTCGTATGAGGAATTTTATGTTTCAGTTCTTCTTCCTTAACATTATATACTTTTGAAATATGCTCTTCATACTTTGACATTATTTTTATAACTTTACTTTTAGCAACAGATAGCCGTTGATGCTTTGGAATGCCATGAAGTTTTATGAGGGATACACCTATTGTTTCCAAACTAACATTTAATGCCTCTTGTGACTTTTCAGAAGTAGCACATGAAATAGATTCCTCAAATTCACAATTATCTTGTTCATGAAATTTACTGATTATAGCGTCAAAGCAGCTCCGACAAAGTTGATATCCAGGCGCAACATTTGGAAAATTAATTCTCAATTGTTTTGCCATGTCTAATGTTATTACATGACTCCCTGAAAAGAAAAGAACAATTTGATTTTAGTAATTACCTATGAATATGAAAATTATTTGTACTTATTTCAATATACATTGCATAACCAGATCAGCTTTTTTTCAAACTTTTATAAACTAGTAGATTTTAATTTCATTATTCAAAAAAGATTTTACAGTAATTTTTTATCAACAATATTTACCTTTGATTGCTTTTTTTTTTGATTTATGCTTGTCCAATAAATTACAACATTTTGTGTGCTTCTTTTCAAAGTGTGTACCAAAAATCTTTTCATGATGAAGGCAGATTGTTAAAATTTTATCATCTGTTATTCCAGATCTCCAAATAAATTCTTCTCTGGCATCTTCTCTATAGCAATCAAATTTCTTTAAATCAATCTTTCTACAATAACTTAGTTTATGACAAGTATCATTTAATTTTTTTCCAAAATCACATGAATCCATTCTTACTGTAACACTAAAAACATTTTGAGATTAATTTCAAAATGAGAAACCAATAGTAATTAATTCAATGAAAGCAACTTAAGCAACCACTATGGTAATACAAAACTAAACAGTGATTGATTTCTTTTATCTTACTTTGACAAAAAGAAAGTTTCTATTTCACAAAGTTTAATTATAATCAATTTGTTAATGTTAAAAATGTTAATGATGACTTTAATAGGTAACAAATTTCTTCTATACTAGTGTAACGACAGGATGTTTTTTGTTACTGTAAATAGTTCTTATTTAATAAAATAACTTGCTGTTAACATTTTAGAATTAGCAAATATCAAATAAAATAATGATTTTGAAAAATTAATAAATTTCTTTTTTATTGATATAATGTTATGACAGGATGTTTTTTTCTGTTGGAAGTTAATTAAACAACTTGCTGTTACCTTTTTAGCATTAAAATATATTAATCTTTTTTAATTAAAATTTTAAATTATACAAAATAAAATTCTGTTAAAACCATTATTTTAGACTGTTTTTAATCTTATACATGCAAATCAAAATTCTTATAAACATTAACTTTCTTAAAACATTTTAAGAAAGATCATTGAACATAGAATGATCAAAAACCAAATTGAACAAATATAAATCACAAAAATTTGTGGAAGCATTTCATTTCACAAAAATTTGTGGAAGCAATGTTATCAAAGATATGTTTAACATTGTTAAAAATGAAAATCTAAAAAAAATTTTTGAAGACAATAGTTTCAAAGTTATCTTAAATTTAAGACAAAAAAAAAAAAATTTTTTTTTTGAGAAAATAAGTGGGGCATGGTCTCTGGTGCCCCAGCCCCATGGACTTTCTGGTCGTCTGACCTGAAACTATTTTAACCCATGTTCATCAGGACTACACAAATGCTGAAAGTTTCAAAGCACACGCTTGTCTGGAAGATACTGAAAAATCCATCTCAAGATTCCGGTCAAAAAAGTGGGGCACATCCCTCCAGCCCCCTCCCCTAGTGTCTTGGGCCCTTTTTTAATTTTAAAATGCACATTTATTGACACTACATAAATACCAAAATTTTCATCGTTCCAGCTAGTCTGAAAGGTAGTGAAAAATGTATGGCAAGATTCTGCTACAAAATAGTGGGGCCTGTGCCCCGTTAACCATATATGGAAATCCATATACTTGCAGATCAAAATTTTTATGTTCTCTGAAAGATCATTAAACATAGAACAATGTGCACAATTTTTTTTTTTTATATCATCAAGGCCACATGGCTTTCTTGAGCATCAAAATCAGGTATATAAAAAATTGCCTAAATTTATTTAAATTGATAATTACAAGTACTTAAAAATATTTTTTTACATTTCTGATTATTTCATTGGATTCTTCGACCCTGAAAATAGCCAGGTACAAATTTTTAAGTCAAAAGATCAAATATTTTTAAAGCTGTGTGACTTGGAACCTTTAAACAAAGGTCACACTTCTGAGGGGACAAGAGGGGCCTGGCCAAGATCAGTTAAAAGTAAAATGATCATATTTCATGATCCTCTTGGAGCTAGAAGCTAAAATTTTCAAGGATTTTTTGTTTCACTAAGTACTCTCAACTGTATAAAAATCAGCAAAATCTGAGATGTATGGTGACATGGCCTGGCTCAATTGACATGGAATTACTTCTGAGTTACATTATTTATCATATGGTAGGCTTAAAAAAATGAAACTAACATCTTTAAAACAATGAAGAATACAAAGAGATTCCATACAAAAGTATAAACGTTATAATAACATGAATAAGATTTTGAAAATACCTAATCAGCATTTGTGTTCTTTAAATTTTATAGGTTATTCTTTACATATTTAAGGTAACAAATAACATTTATTCACTGATTATTTAAATATTACTATTTTATCCTTTAGAAAACTAGGTGTAACTCTGTCCTAACTGCTACTTTTTTATGTTTTAAAAAATTTAGCTGTTCTCAACAAATATCTTTGAAAATATTGAAAAGAAAACTTTTGAGCTGTCTTTTTGAAACTTGTGGCGAACATTTTCATGGAAAATGTTTTCATGTTATGTTACTTAGTACAGAAGTAGCTTTTGCAAGTTTTAAGGCAATCAAAAATCGATCAGAGAAAAAAAATACAGAAATGATTAGAATCATTTTTAAAACTATCAAATATATATATACACATATATATATATATATATATATATATATATATATATATATATATATATATATATATATATATATATATATATATATATATATATATATATATATATATATATATTATTATTATTATTATAATTATTGTATATATATATATATATATATATATATATATATATATATATATATATATATTATTATTATTATTATAATTATTGTATATATATATATATATATATATATATATATATATATATATATATATATATATATATATATATATATATATATATATATATATATATATATATATATATATTATTATTATTATTATAATTATTGTATATATATATATATATATATATATATATATATATATATATATATACATATATATATATATATATATATATATATACATACACATATATTATATATAAATATATATATATATATATATATATATATATATATATATATATATATATATATATATATATATTATATATAAATACTTAAATATATATATTTTATATATATACTTAAATATATATACTTAAATATATATATTTTATATATATACTTAAATATATATATATATATATATATATATATATATATATATATATATATATATATATATATATATAAAGAGAGAGAGAGAGAGAGAGAGAGAGTATAAATACCTTGCCAGTGATTAGTTCAAACAAAAGAGCTCCAACACTCCACCAATCGGTTGAAGTTACATTATCAAATACTCCATTGACCTCTGAGACAATTTAATTTTAAATTTAATAATTCCTGTTTACTGAGGTTTTTTCTTAAGCTCATATTTCTGTATCATAAATAAAAAAATTCTTGTTATGTTAATGAATACAAAAAAATACAACTATAATTTTTGTTTTTTTGAAAAAAAGATTGAACAAATGCAAGATCCTTCTTTGTGGGCCCCATATATCAGTTAAATATTTCTAAGGTTGATATTGGTATATACCAATCAACAGAAACAATTTTATCTTTTTAAAAGCTGATATTCTTAAAAAAATATATTTAAAAAAATATATGGAACTCTGCAAGGAATTAATATTGTGGGGACTATTTCAGAAAATAAAAAAAGAAGCTTTTCTCATTACCCCAGAGTATAATTCAACTAATTGTGATACAGAAACAAAGTGATCAAGAAAAAGTCAACAATATATTGTTAATAATAAAGTCACAAACCATAAACACACAAACAAAACCTTGATCAGACAAAACCCAAATAATAAATAATAAAAGATAAAATATATTTGAAATATATAGATCTTATCTTAAATAAAAAATAACCTGGTGATGTGTATAGATATCGAATAGCATCTAAATTAATGTTGTAATCAATGCCTTCAACATTTGAGAAGTATGTCAGCTTTACAACACCATTTGAGTCCAACAAAATATTAAGAGGGTTTAAGTCCCTGAAAATTAATTTTTATTTTCAAATTAAAATTTGTTTTATTCAAGAAAAGTTATAAAAAAAAAAAACAACAGGAAAAGTAAAAACCTGCATATAATCCCTCTAGAATGAAGTTCAGAAACACCAAATACAATTTGTGCAGCCCAAATTTTAATCTTATCTTGATAGCTTTTTAGGCTTAGCTCTTTTATAAACCCTGAAAAATCACAACTAATACTATTAGACTTATAATCACAAGTATCCACCCTACTTTCACAGGTATTCACCCCATTTTCACAATTCCAATACTCATCAACTGAATTAATCTGTAAATGGTTAGAAAAAATAATAGGCAAATTTAAGAAGTCCCAAAGACGAACTTGAACATACTGTAATAATAGATAAATTCCTGTCTGAGTTTCAACACAATTGATAAGTTTAACCATAAAGTTGCTATTGTAAAGATTTCTCTGATTTTTTTGTCGAACTTTATGTTTGTAAACACCGCCTTGCTTGTGAAGTACTTTCATAACAAACACTTCATCTACATATATCTTTTGAACTAACATTACATTATTAATAACACCAAATACTCTTACATCACTTAATCTGAACCTCCACTTATTATCATCTAAAACAATGGTCTCTTCTATACTACCACTTGGGTGGAGCTTTGTGTTATATAATTGTTCAGCACGCAGCAAGTATTGAGCTGTTTTTCTTCTAACAGCTTCTTGCCTATCAGCATTATCGTCAATTTGAACACCTCGTAGTAACAAACCAATCCCAAATTTATACATTTCAAAAGCATCATCAAAATTTCCAAGTTCTTCTTGTTCAATAGCATTACTCATGGACACACTTGCTTGAAAAATATAGTCATCTTCTGCAATTGTTTTGCTAATGATTCTTGACATTTTATCATTAACCTGAAATTTAAACTTTGATTGAAACTGCAAACTATGGCTGGTACTTGTTAAGTCAGATACAATAGAGTTATTGCTTAATAACACAGTGTCATTAGATGGTTCATCCAAAAGTATATATGTACTATCAAAAATATCTGCATTAGGAAGATCACAAGGTGCTTCTGCCAGAGATTCTAAATCATCTCCACATATTGAACGAGCTTCCCTTAACCATAGTCTTCTTGGATTATCATCATAGTTGGCAAGGAAAACATCATCTAAATCATCTGCATCCAAAATAACATTGGAATTAACACATCTATCTCTAGACTCAATGCTTTGAGTTTCAGACATGTCAATTGATTCAATAGGAGAACTTAAACCTAAAAAAATATAAAAACTTATAAACACCATTAAATTTGATTTCTCAATACTCATTCTCTCAGTACTGTATTAGCAATGATGATAAGGATATTTGATTAAAGCTTCATTTTGTAGCCAGATGTTAACATAGATTTAAGATTAAAGCATTTGATTTAAAAACTCGTAAATTGCTTTCCTAAAGATTATTCAAAGTTAAGAGAAAATATTGGTATCCAATATAGAAATCATATTTAAACAGAAATAAAAAACATTAAAAACCTTTAAATATGCTAAGATTTTTGGATTGTGATTCAAATATAAATGAAATATATTAATAAATAAAATATAATTACTAAAAAAATATTTAACTATAGATATTAAACTTTTTATTTTTTAGACTATTTTTAACTTTGCTAGAACAATTAAGGAATATATCAATTATTTTCAACATTTATGAAAAAGAAGAACTAACAAGTATTCAGGAAAAATTAATGATAATAGTATCAAAAAACTAACAAAAAATTTTAAAAAATACTAAAAAGTTAGTATTGAGAGAATGAGTATTAAATGATATCTATAAATTAAAGTAATCCATGTCTCATACAAGACATAATCAATTAAAAAGAATAATTAATAAACCACAATTATTGTGACTTACTAATTACTTATTGAATAAGTAACTCCAATCAGGAGAGTGGCAAAGTATTTTAACAAAAAAACAAAAAAAAAAAAAAAAAAATCTTTAACAAAAAAAATAACCAACTGTTTACAATAAGCATATTGTATTAAAATACTATATATTATTATATCAATTATTTTTATTTTTTAAGAGATAAGGTTTATTGTTGTTAATAATAAATGTTGTTAGAGATAAGGTCTATTGTTACTAATAAATAATGTTGTTAAAGATTCGGTTTAATTTAAATACTAAATATATAATTTAAATAAATAAAATAAGGAAACAAGTAAAACACAGTCTTGTAGTATGAACAAAAAAAACTTAAAAAGGTTAATTACAAAATAGTATTTTTTTATATTTGATGTCTGTTTTATGAGTTAAATTTTTACAATAGCATTTTTATAAATAACTTTATTACTTTACCACACTTTACATAAAACTAAACTTGTTTTTAAAACTTGATTCCATTTCATATATATATAATTTTTAAATATATATGAAATGGAATCAAGCTATGGATTTTGTTTAAGACGTCTTAGATCTCTTTTAAAGCTACAATCACTATTTTAATTAGTAAATATATATATATATATATATATATATATATATATATATATATATATATATATATATATATATATATATATATATTTAATAGCAGTTTGCGGGACCTTTTTTTGCGATAAAATGCGACTTTGCGGGGACTTTTCCTTTATGGGGACATGATCATGTCCCCACAAAGTTTGCAAGCTTTTTTCATAAAGAATATTTTATGTTTTCATAATTTAAAGTCATATGACCATATTAGGCAATAATCTATAGTTTTTTTGTTTAAATTATGTAATTTATGCATAAATTCCAATCAAACACTCAAACTAAAGTTTCAGCATGTTTAACTCATCGAATTTCCAAGTGCGTTGAAAATTAACAAATCAGGGTCTTATATACTTTGGATTATTCCTCGTGGATTCTTGTCGTTATTTAACTTTTTTTTAATGGAAATGGATAACTCTAACATGTTTACATTCATTTATTAGTATTAAACACTTTAAAATATAGTATTCTGTATGTATTATGTAAAAGTTTTTTTACAGCCAAGCTTTTCCTCTGTGCGCTTTTTCACTCATGTTTTACTAAAACATGATTGAAAAAGCAACTAAAACATTGAGAGAATATTCGCGGTTTTCATTTATTAGCTTTTGGTTATAATTTTTTTAAGAAAATATGGAATTGGATGAATCTAATGTATTTGATGACTTTAAACCTTCAGAGGTTTGTAAATATTAACCTGTTTATTTATTGTTTGATTCATTTCTTGCATATTTACTCATTCATTTATGAATATACTTGTGACAAGTATTTATTTACACAAATAAAATTTTATATTTATAAATAATATTTATGTTAAATTTATATGCAAATTATCTATAATACATACATGTATTGCTAATACTATTAGGTATTTTTAAATGATGTAAACAAACATTTTGACAAGTCTTGTCAAAATGTTTGTTTACATCATTTACAAATAACTAATATATTATAATATGTATTATAGATTAATTGCATATATATTTTAACATATATATTGGTTGTAAATGTACTTTATTTTTTTAAATAAATAGTTTTACAACATGTATGATGTAATTTACATCATTCTACAATTTTATTATTAAGAAATTGTTGAAGAGAGTGACTGTGAATCAAAGAGCTGCGAATCTTTAAAGTATGTTTCTAAAATGGTAAGTCTTTATCATGATTATAAATGTCATTTTGCCAAAATAGTCAATAAATTCTTATATTATAGGTCATTATATATTTACATATAGATACATCATTATATATACAATGAATTCTACATATCATGTTCTCATTTTTTTGCCAAAATAGTCAATGAATACTTGTATCTCATTTTGTTTTACAATAGAATCCCTTACATATTCAAGATGCAAATCTAGGCAAAGAATGTAAAGATAACAAAATAATGATCAAACACAAATGTGATGAAAATGATGAAGAGTTTTTTGATTTTTTTTTTGAGAAAGTTTTTGATCATAAAGGTATATTTATGTTTAGAATAAAAAAGAATCAAAAAGATTGCATCAAAAAAAACATTTAGAATCATAAGATAACAATTTAGTGTCTAAGTTATGATATTTAACTATTTTGGTGGTTAAAGGTTTATTATTTATGTAACATATTTATTTAAAACCCAGATATAAAAGAAGTCCAAGAAGTAGATAATTGTATTGATGAGGTGTTATTTACATATAATATATTATTATTTAGCTGGTTTTTTATAATGAATTTTTTTTTTAGGGTTCTATTATAAAAAAAAAAGGGAATCGTTTTGATAAAGTAACCAAGGTAACCTTTGCTATATTTATAAATAATGTGAATTATTCAATTAAATTTTTTTTATATCATTTTTATTATTTACATTTTAAAGAAATTTGTTTTCCAAAAAGTTTTTATTATTGATTTATTTTATTTTATTGATTAATGAAATGTACGCTTAAAAAAAAAAAAGTAAGTATAGTATTAAAATCATATTATGTACGCTTTCTACTTTAAGAGGTCATTGGATAATACAATCAGAGATTTTCCTACTTTATCTGTAGGAAAATCTCTGATTGGCCAAGTAAGTATCATTTTCACTTTATTATCACTACAAAAAGTTAACTTACTACTGTTTGATAAATAGGGACAGTTTTTCTTTATTTAAAGTTATAAAACATAAGGTATTGAAACCATCCCCTCTCTAAAGTTTTTCTCTAAAGAAACCATTACCTTTCTCTAAAATATCTGTAATAGGAGTATGTAAAACATTGTATTGTAAAAAATATAGTAAAACTTTGAAAAAATATAGTGAAACTGTAAAAAATATAGTGAAACTTCTAGCTCGAAAAGAAATAGAAGCGTTTCGAATAAAAAATGCAGTTCCTTTCCAATACTCAAAAATTTGCTCTAAATTAGTAAACGATCGTGAGAAAAAAAGACGACAGAAAAGCATCAGAACCAAACTTTCGAATAAAAGATGCCAAGACATGAATATGTAGAACTGTTGCTCTTTGTAATTAAAGTATTTTTCAAATTATATTTTTTCTCTCGTCGTTTTTATTTAAATCAACTTGTTTAGATAATATAGTTTTTCAACTTGTAAAAGTTCATTTTGGTTAAAATAATTGTATTATTTATAGCAAGCGTTAAACTTTTGTATTTTTTGCATGTAATTCTATAAAAGATTGAAATGTTAAAATAGGCTTAAAAACGTGGCTATTTAAGCTTTTCCAAAAAAGTCCCATAATGTTCACAATAGGCTTAATAAACAATATGGGGACACGAAATGAATTAAAATTTTAAAAACTTTTGGCATTAGTCTACGCTTAAAGATTGAGTGAAAACACACTTAAATTATTATTTTCAGTTAAAACTAAACCAAAAAAATGTATTTATATTGATTTCAAAAAACTAATTAAAATAGTTATTGTAGCTGTAAAAGAGATCTAAGACGTCTTAAACAAAATCCATAGCACGCATAGTGTATTTAATCATTTTTAAACTTAACTTATGTTTATTAAAAATTTAGCTAAAAACTTATTATTACTTCTTAAAAATTCATTTCCAGCAATAATGCAAGCAACCACTATTTAAGTTGTAAAAACTGTATATTACATGAGCCAAGCAAATATGAAGATGGAAGTGAAACATTGACATGCAAAGAAAAAAATTATATAAATAAAAGTTTTTTGAGCATGTAGGAACAGTTAAAATAAAGATCCTACATAGTTAAATTAACACATATTTAAATGACAGATTTTGATAGAACAAGCAATAACTTGCTTAAGCAACCATAGTTGTATTGATAGAAAAAAGAAAATAACAACAATGATGGTTGAGAAGCTCAAGCTTGGCAGAAGACCAAGTTCAACTAGATTCACACATTTTTGGACATTGTCTATAAATGAAAGAGTATTATTAGTAAAACTAGCCCAAATATGACAACAGTATTCCATTCAAGGACAAAGTAAAAAGATTTATAGAGGTAGAGAATGAATTTAGGAGAAAAATAAAGTGAAATCATGCTTAGCAATGGACAATAAAGCGAAGCAACTTTAGCAGATGCAAATCTTTTTCTGTGGGTTAGTAGTAGTAGTAAAAGATAATAAAAAAAAAGTAAAATAAACACACAGTAAGATCGTTGCCCTTCTTTAAATGTAAACACGCAGTAAGAGTGTTGTCTTTCATTAAATGTAAAATAAACGCACAGTTAGAGTGTTGTTCTTCTTCAAATGTAAAATAAACGCACAGTAAGAGTGTTGTTCTTCTTCAAATGTAAAATAAATGTACAGTAAGAGTGTTGTTCTTCTTCAAATGTAAAATAAACGCACAGTAAGAGTGTTGTTCTTCTTCAAATGTAAAATAAACGCACAGTAAGAGTGTTGTTCTTCTTCAAATGTAAAATAAACGCACAGTAAGAGTGTTGTTCTTCTTCAAATGTAAAATAAATGTACAGTAAGAGTGTTGTTCTTCTTCAAATGTAAAATAAACGCACAGTAAGAGTGTTGTTCTTCTTCAAATGTAAAATAAATGTACAGTAAGAGTGTTGTTCTTCTTCAAATGTAAAATAAACGCACAGTAAGAGTGTTGTTCTTCTTCAAATGTAAAATAAATGTACAGTAAGAGTGTTGTTCTTCTTCAAATGTAAAATAAACGCACAGTAAGAGTGTTGTTCTTTTTCAAATGTAAAATAAACGCACAGTAAGAGTGTTGTTCTTCTTCAATGCAGGAATATTAATAATACTGAAATGACTACAAATAGTAAACAACTGAGCTTTGTTGGGAATAATTTTTTTCAGCCTATGCAAGCCCTAAGCTGTCACAGAAGAGAATCACCACTATTTGAATAATAAACAGTTAATCTTGAATCTGACCTCTCTTTGATGACAGCATGAGGCTTGCAGTAGTTGGGTAATTTTAACTCAAACAAAACTTAGTTGTTTACTGTTAAAAATTATTGTAACTTTGTTAATAATCTATACTGATGGCAACATTATTACAAAGTCCTCTACTCAATATCTTATGGTATTATTTCTCACTACAAATCTTTCACGAAAGTCATATATACAAACATTGTTGGCATAATTGGGGTGATTCTTCTATTGATGCTTTTTCATCTAATGTTGTTGGATCTGCTCTAGCTACAAAATCTGAGCTGCTTTCCAATAAAGTATGTTAAGAATGTTAAGAAATCCAAGAAACTTGATTGGCTTATTTGGTATATATTACCTTTATATTCATTTTACCTTTTATGTACTTGAGAGTTTTGTATTTAAAAAAAAATTCATTACCAAAAGGAGATAGTTAAAAGTTTTCTCTGTGTGGTAAATTTTTGTCATAGGGTTGCACCTCTTTCTCTTTTCTTCTAATACTATCTTGGTTATTGATCAAGTAAGCTATCATCTCTATCAACCAAAACTCAATTTCATGCAACTCCTCATTCAGCTAAGCTACACCTTTTTATTGAAATTTTCATTATACTCAAAAAAACTTTTATTCATCTAGATTTTTTTTCTATGCACGCAAATGCTTTAGAATTTTCTCTAGCCTAAAAGTTTTCCTGACTTATTTCCTGACTTTTATCTCATGTAGTTATGCAGTTTACAATTTTACAATTTTCCTGACTTATGTAGTTTACAATTTTAAGTCTTTTATCATTCACTCCTTAACTCTCTTGTTCGCTTTTTTTTGCTTTTTGGTTGCTTGCACCTGTTTTTCTAGTTAATTTTTTTTAAAAAGACTATAATAAACAACATTTCAAACTAAGTCAACATTGTAAAACTTAAAGTGTGCAAAACATACTAGGACAGTCTAGGACATATATATATATATATATATATATATATATATATATATATATATATATATATATATATATATATATATATATATATATATATATATATATATATATATATATGTGTGTATACAAACAAATAAATTATTTAATGTGTATACAAACAACTAAACTATTACCTGGTAGAAGTTGAGGTACTTGTTGGTTATCTGTAAGAGGTAAAGAAACTGATGATGTTGATTTTGAAGTTGAAGGTCTTTTCTTTTTATAAAAGAAAATTGACAAGTAATTATTTAAAATTATAAAACATTGAAATAAAATTTTCTTACATTAAAAAGAACATCAAAAATTACGTTTAACATAAATTACTAGAAATAAATATTTTCAATATTGAAATAAATATTTTCAATATTGAAATAAATATTCTCTTTCATTTGAAAGTATATCAACAAAATTAGTTCAATTAAAATTTTTATATTATTTCATGAAATTATTAATAAAAATTTCAGACTTTGTTTACGCTTTCCATTATTTAAGCATAAATGCTTAAATGGCCGCTAAAGTGCAAATAATTTAATTAAGTTTTCCTAAAAATTCAAGACAAATTTAAAGTAATATCATACAACTCCAGTAAAGTATTGTTGAAGCTCTTTATAAGTATGTTTAAACATTTAAGATAGATGGAACATGTTTTGTAATTAGTGGTTAAAAAAAAACTATAGATATAATTGAAGAAGATAAAAAAATTAGATAATCTAAATTCTTTTCCATCGCAAAAACTTGTTGCATTTTTCAATGAATAAAATTCAATCTTAATACCACAAGATGTCAAAACAACAACAACACTTTATGTTATCTTTAATTCAAAACAATACAAAGATATTAGAAAAAAAATTGCTCAACCAAAATAAAACTGGAAAAAAACACAAAAAAAAATTAAAAAAAAAATAAGTACCTTAATAAACACTTGAAAAGCAGGATGTTGAATCATTTCAGGAAACTTGATAATGAAGTTCATCAACTGTATTGATGAAAGACGCCTTTCTTCAATGACATCTTTATCGAATCGACCTATCAGATTACTTTTAAGTTTTGATAAATAAATATAGCAACAACAACAAAAACATTTTTAAAATTTTTAAAGGTAAAAAAATTTTTTATCAGTATAAGATTTTTTAATTTAGCATAAAATGTTGTTTTCCATATTTAGCATAAGATGTTGTTTTGCATATGCTATATCAGTTTCATCATTATACTGTATCACATGCTATATCAGCTTCAAATGCTTAGTTATTTGCAGACCCTTATGTGTGTTATTACGCAGGTAAAAATCTCTAGAGAGATTTGGGTAGAAAATCTCGGTAGAGATTTTGGGGCATGTATAAAGGGTATGTATAAGCCCAAAACAGTTAATGTCGTTCAATTAAAAAAACTGAGACAATGTGTGAAAAATAGGAAGTGCTATTTAAAAAATTTTTTTTTGGCTAAACTACAAAGAAACTTTATAGAAAATAATAAATAAAGAAAATAAAACGTTTCACTTTTCATAAATCTGAAAAAAATGCCATCATCCACAACTGCAAATACAGTTGAAGTGATGCATCAACACACCCTGAGAAATACTCTAATGTGTATGCTCCCATGCGAGAGGAAGAACATTTGGGGGTTGCTATTGGTGGCAGATCATGCTTGTCATTTTCTTCATTATCAATATCTTGATATAAGTTATTGACTCCTTCCAAATCATCTTCATAATACAGCTCGATGTCTTTGTCTGCAAATTCTTCTTCATAGCTTTGGCAACATTTTATCTAGGACCACCTTCAGAAGGTGCTATCTACTTTTTTAAATCCCTTAAATCTTCTGGTTGTTTTGATCTAATCAACTCTTCCCTGAATGTTATCATGTCCAACAAGATCTGAATGTTATCATATACTACAAGATCCATAATTCCCTAAATGTTATTATGTCCTACAAGATCCATAATTCTCTTGCTTGCCAAGTGATCTTTAGAACTATCAAAAACTAAATATAATTTTAGTATATTTAGAGATACTATATAGAGTCATCATATTTTTCTAGTAAACATCTTATCAATCAACTTTATTATAAACTTCATTCCATGCATGGTTGAACATTTGCATCGTCTGATCCTTAAATGGCGATGGCATTTTTTCTGGATGTTCAGTAAGAAGGCCCAGCATTAGCTGCTTTTCTTTTTTTCTGTAAGCAGCTTTGTTTTTTCTATAAGTAGTATCATTTTCTTGTACATCCCCAGTTATGCCACCACTAATATTTTTTAAAAAAATCTTTTTAAAAAAAATACAGACTCAATTTCTGGAGGCAGATAAGCAGAATAGTCATCAAACATAGCTATAACTTGTTTTGAAGGTAAAAAAAACCACTTGAAAAGTTCTTTTGTAAAAGACGCAACAGCCATAACTGTGCATCATTTACAGGAAAAATAATGATTTTCTTTTACAAAGTATACTGATCTCTAACTTTAGATCATCATCTCAGAAAACTATGTGTTTTCTGAGATGATGATCCATTGCATTTAGTCAGCAGACAAGATAAGAGGGTCAACCTAATACTTATACAGCCACAAGTAACATGTTCATATACATTATTGAGAGTAACATGTTCATATACATCATTGAGAGTAACATGTTCATATACATTATTGAGAAACTAAACAATTCTTTATTTTTGTATACCTTGGAAAACAGTAAATCATTTGTTAGGTTGCCAAAGTGAGATTCTGCACTTTTTACATCAAACATGAATACGACTGTCTTAAACTTTTAAATTTTGGAAATCCTTTCAAACAATGATGAAATATCATGTAACATGTAACCCTGTACATTCTACTTCATGTCCTACTGCCTTGTAGGATACACTTTTTTGAGCAAAGGGGTAAAGGTTAATCTTTTTACCTCTTAAAGGGTTAAGGGGTAAACAAATTTTATCTGTTGACCAGCTTCGCACCCCTTCTATTAGGCTGGCGCAGATGTATTTATAAGACATTGTTTCCAGTTTAGGATGTTGAATGATGGATCTTCTTGACTTAATGCATGGGTTTTGCTTGTGTCTCTGTTTTATTAATAGGCATCTCATTCTATTATCTCCTAATGAGGGTACATTCTATTATCTCCTAATGAGGGTACTAATATCTCCTAATAAGGGTACAAAACTCAGTTTTATGGTTCTGAGGCTAGCTGGAGGTGGAATTCCCGAACTCTGTGGTAGCTCTCAGAGAGGCTGATTCCATCAACAGCTGTAAAATATTAGATTACTAACAGTGCTATATTGCACATGGATGGTGTCTTTGTTTGCAAGTTTGTAATAAGCCCTTTTTTACGACTTAGGGTTTATTAATAGTAATGAGGCAATTGCTTGGGCTATTAAATAGTGTACTGAGTTCTATCTATACTTTGATTCAAGTTTTTTATTTAAATTTAAAAATTAACAAAGTACCAAAAATTTTAAAACACAAAAAACCATTGTCATCAGCTAGTTCTCTAAACCTATCATTCACTAAAATTCATGGTCTTCGAAGTAATTTTTCTTCTGAGCCTTGCAAAGTTCACCAGGACCTATTTGCTCTTAGTGAGACTAATTTAAGTTCAGCTGTCTCATCTTGTAATCTTGATGTTGATGGTTATCTTCCTTTAATTAAGACTCTAATAGTCACATGTATGGCCCGGGCATCTACATTCATAAGAATTCACCCATTTGTTAGGAAATTAGGTTTGAAACCACAGACTACTCTTTTATGTGCTTTTGTTTTGCACCACTTCACTCAATTGCCTTTCTCTTAGTTCTATATCGCTTTCCTTTACCTCAAAACTGCACTTTTTATTTGATATTATTTCTGATCAAATTGACCTAGCCCTTTCTCTTTTTCCATCAGCCAATATCGTTGTTGTTGGTGACTTTAATGCTCATCACAATCAATGACTTGACTCAAGTGTCAATGGCTCTGCAAGGCCCACAACTTTTGTCTTTCTCAATCCCTTACTCAAATAGTCAACTTTCCAACTCACTTTCCAGACAACCCCAATCATTTATCATCTCTACTCAACTTATGTCTTGCTTCTGATCATAATCAGTGCTCAGTTTCTCCAATTCACCCAGGTGCTTCTGATCATAGTTTGATGATTCTGATCATAGCTTAATCATCTCATTTTTCTTCATCATCAGAACTCCATTGTACCTCTTACAACTACCTTAAAGCTAACTGGGACTCTTTCCGTGATTTTCTTCGTGATGGCTCTTGGGTAGAAATCTTTCATCTTGCTGACAAATGTGCTTCTTATATTCACTTCTTGGATTCAGGCTGGCATGGAATCTTTTATTCCCTCTCAACAATTTCAATTCAAGACTCACTCTTCACGATGGTTTTCTTCACATTGTGCTGCTGCAATTTCCAATCGAAACCATTACTTTCAATTCTATCAGCATAACAATTCTCCAGAAAACAGATGCCTGTTTACTATTGCTAGAAACCATTGTAAAAAAGTTTTGTTCAATGCCAAAATCCTATTCTCAGGTCACAAATTCTTGTATTTTACCTCAGAAATTAGGCTCTCTTGACTTTTGGAGAATCTCTAACAGTATCAATAAAAAGGGCATATCTGTTGTTCCACTTCTCTTGTATGGTTTAGATTGTCACCTCACCTAAAGACAAAGCTGAATTGTTTGCTAACAACTTTTCATCAACATTATCACTTGATTCCACTAGTTGCGTTCTACCTTATATAGCTGACAAACAGGTTGATCCATTGATAGAAATTTGTATCACTTCAGCTTCTGTATCTAAAGTGATTTCCTGCTTAGACTGTTCTACAGCTTGTGGCCTGGAGAACATAACTGTTATAGTCTTGCAGTAGTGTTCTCCAGAGCTTTCGTCTATCCTTTCAAAACTATTTTACAAGTGCTTATCAGAGTCTTGTTTTTCAGCCTGCTGGAAAACAAAACTCTGATAAGCACTTGTTAAATAGTGAAACTCAGGAGAACAATCTGACTTGTTTAATTACCATCCCATTCGTCTTCTTACTATCATAAGCAAGGTTTTTGAATCTCTAATTAACAAACACTTAATCTCTTATCTCGAATCTAATAACTTGCTTTCTGATCATCAATATGGATTTCACTCTTTTCGTTCTATAGCTGATTTGCTAACAATAATAACCGATAGGTTTTATCGTGCATTAGATAGAGGTGGTAAGGTTAAGGATATCTAAAGTTTTTGATAAAGGTTGGCATGCTGGTCTTTTCCATAAGCTTTCTTCTTATGGTGTATCTGGTAACATCTTTAAGATTATTGAATCCTTCCTTTCCAATCATAGCATAAAAGTTGTCCTTGATGATTTGTCCTCACTCTTCTTCATATCCTGTAACTTCAGAGGTTCCTCAAGGTTCTATCCTTGGCCCTATACACTTTTTAATTTACATTAAAGATCTTCCAGATATTCTCACATTTAAGGTGACATTGTTCACTGATGATATTACCATTTATTCTTATCATGATAAGAACCTAACACTCTCTGATTGCTTAGAGGGGGCATTTGAGCTTGAAAAGGATCTCACTTCTGCTTCAGCATGGGACTTACAGTGGCTGGTGAACTTTAATTCAGATAAAACTCAATTTTTTTCAGCTAATTGTTGTTGTAATAATTCTTTTATTTATGAATGGCAATGTACTCGATGAGTCATCTACCCTTCATCTTCTAGGATTAACTCTTACTCCCAATCTTTCTTGGAAACTATATATCAAATCCATTGCAAAATTAGCATCTGCTAAGGTTGCATCTCTTTATCGTGCTCGACACTATCTTACTCCGAATTCTATTCTTTATCTCTATAAATCTCAAATCTGTCTGTCTATGGAACACAGTTGCCATATCTGAGGCAGATCTTCCAATGATGCCCTCTTTTAGACATGGTGCAAAAACGCATTATAAACATAGTTGGACCTGCTCTTGCAGTCAACCTCCAACCATTATCACATCATTGTAATGTTGCTTCTCTTTCCATTTTTTACAAATACTATAATGGGCACTGCTCTAAAAAGCTAGAGTCTCTTGTACCATCTACTGAAATTCATTCTCATGCTACTTGCATTCAATTAAGTCTCATCCTTTTTCTGTGACTGTTCCTTAGTAGGTCAATTGTTATCTTGCTCTATAAACTTCATATTTTCTCTTCCAGTAACTTCAAACTTTAATAGTGATTGCTTGCAGCTTTGTTGGAAGTAAAGATGCTTAAAAAAAAAAAAAATCAAATAAAGCTGATCTCACTCCAATGGCTTTTTTCAGTGAGCCAGCTCCCAATAATCTAAACTGGCTCTTACTGTTATTGCCTTCTATTGAACATTGGTTTTTATCAAGTTTTTCTAAACAGTGTATGACAAACTTTGTTGTGGATTTGAATTCCTTACAATGACACTTTTCATACCAATAAAAAATTTACAAACAAATGTTTGTATATAGCCGATTTTTCCACTTCCTTTTGTTTGTATTCCAAACTGCTTTATTAATTTAAAGGTTTTTTTTGTCAGCTTCATACTTTAACAAATCACCATTACTTTTTGCTCAGCTAAATTAAATTTACGGTTCTTGGTAGCATACTATTTTATTTTTATTTTTATGCATAAAATATAAAAAAATTTTACTTGTAATTTATTTCAATTAAAGATATTTGTTAAACTTAATGCTAAAAAACATCTAAACAACAACTATTATTACAATACCCAAATTTTATACAAAGTTTAGCATAAAAACTATTTTCAAATTTGCTAATAATATATGATTCCTAACACTTAACACAATACAATAGAAAAATTTGTATTCTCCAGAATAAACAAATGAAAATAAAATTTACGCTTATAGTGAGTAAGAATCCCCCCCTTCCCATATATTTTGACCATGCTCCCAATCAACAATAATTCAAAGGTATCTCCAACCACCCCAACAATTACAACACCACAATCAATCAATTTTTACTGTTATATCTACTTCCCCAAACTATTTAAGCCCCTCCCTTACAATCAGGCTAGAGTAAATATTGTTACAATGTTGAATTCAACTTGTTAAAGTATTTTTTTTTAGTACTTTTAATAACTTTTACATTGTCATAATTCATATAATTAAACATATTAAATTATTCAAAAATAAGAAGGGAGACTAACCTAAACTTATTATTAGCATACTCAAATATACAACTTCACATATATGAATTTTTTTAAAAAGAATTTATTGATTACTTAATAAGAATTGATTACTTTCTTTATTCTACAGATATGTTGCTTATTTTCTTTATTCTATAGATATGTTGCTTATTTTCTTTGCAAATGCTAATAATAAAAAAGTTGCTACATGAAAAGTCTAACAGATAGAGTTAACATATTTGAAATATCTAGTTCCCACAACCCATTTTATGGACTTTCTTTTGCTAGTATATTATAATACATAACATGCAACAAATATGAATACATTTATTTCTAAAAACTTTAATCCTACTAAAAAGTAAAACATTCTCACCAAATACTTTACTTTTTGCAAACTCAGGATAACTTAAAAAAATTGTTTCAAAATCAGCTTTCAATGACTTATGGAGTTTTTTGAATTCGCTAAATCTTTTCCATGAAATAAACTAAAAAATAAATAAAAATAAACTAAAGTAAAATTTGAAAAATAACAATCAGTCCATTATTTTTAACTACCTGTTTATATTGTTTATTATTATCTACCTGTTTTAGCTGCTTTAGTAGCCGCACTTTGTAAGTATTTTATACAGAGTTTAAACCCTATTACAACCCTAATTGAACTTTGTTCAATATGTTTCACAGCGCAGCAACCTGTAAGTTTCAGAGTCATAGGGTTGTAAGAGCTGTAACAATAAGTTACAACTCTCACATATTATAAGTTTGTAATAAATATATAATATAAATAAGTTTGTAACTAAGTAACAATAAGTTAAAAAAATAGTTATGAGTAAGTGAATCATTCAACATAAAAAAGTTAACTGAACTTTTTAATGAAATTAATTATTAAATTTTTTATGTAATTATTAAAATGTTATTATTTTATGTAAACTTATTTTATGTAATTATTAAAATGTAATTAAACTTTTTAAAAGAACTATTATTTTTGAACTTAATTTCTTAATATGTTTACCTGATGCTTAAAAGTATTTCAAATTCTTTTGATTAATTAATACATCTATTTCTAAATTAGTTTTGTCTAATGGAAAGTTTCAATAAATTCTTTTTATTTTCATCTGATTTTTTTCATACCTAATAATAATTGTACTTTCATAAAATCTGACTTTTTTAAATTTTCGTAAGATCTGATTTTTTTTATTTTCATAAGATCTGATATTTTTCATACCTAATAATAATCTCTTTTTTTTAGATTTTGTTTAATTTTGTAAATAACTTTTATTTCACATTGCAATGTAGGGTTAATTTAACTAAATAAAAATTTGCAGTTTTCCATAAATTGTATAGATTTCAAATCTAGCATATTTTCAGATATTTATAATTTTTTTAAGGCAATATGTTTCCATGTTTTCATATCAAAAACTTTCATCATACTAGACTTTTTTTGCTTTTTTTTTGCTTTTTTTGTCAAAGAGTTGGCTTTTAGAATTTAAAAAAAAAAAATTATCTTGGTTAGGTGATCAAATTTATGTCATGTTGAAGCAACAAAAACAATTTCCTTATGTAACCTTAAATAAAAGTAGAACAAATACAATAACATATTGTTTTCAATATCAAATAAGCATTTATAATGGTGATCAAACAAATAAGATAAAAACAAAATTGAAAATTTAGTCAAAAGATATTTACGTTTTTACAAAAGCTCCCAAAAATGGGGAACTTTCTTAAAATAAAAGTAGTTAATAAATTTAATTTTCCATTGCACTACTAGATTTCAAATTCATTTCAATTGATGATTACTCATAAAATTTCTTTTCAGTATTCTATAGTCAAGTCACTATCTGCTCACTCCTCAAGTACAGAAATATCACTAAAAGTTGACTTGAATTTTAGGGATATTTTTAATGGATGGGAAGAGGTAAAAACTAAATTTTGAGCTGGTCAATTCTCAGACAAGGGCAGCTGTTTTTGGTTATACATTCTAAAATTCTTACAGATGCACAAGAGACACTAAAAAATACTAAAGACCTCATATATATATATATATATATATATATATATATATATATATATATATATATATATATATATATATATATATATATATATATATATATATACCCTTATAGTGTAGTCGAAAGAGCGTTTTAATGTAAAAAAAGTCTCTTACGACTACAATTTTAATTACCTCGTCTCTTAAGCTGTTTTTGATTGTCATCGAAATGTCAAAGCAATTAATTTATGCGGAAGTACATTAAATTTAGTAGTGTTTTTGTTATTGATTTAATAAAAAACATTTTTAAAACATGCGTAAATGTTGCTACATCGACTATCTTATAGCCTGACTCGCAACGGAGTGCTGCTACATCGACTGACAAATAGCCTGACTCGCAACAGAGTGCTGCTACATCGACTGACAAATAGCCTGACTCGCAAGGGAATGCTGCTACATCGACTGACAAATAGCCTGACTCGCAAGGGAGTGCTGCTACAACGACTGACAAATAGCCTGACTCGCAAGAGAGTGCTGCTACATCGACTGAGGGTTTGGTTTGGCCAGGCAGTCTATCAATTAAAAAAAAAAATTTAATTTTTAAATTTTTAAAACTTTTTCTGGTCTGGTTTATTAACGCGCTCTTTAAAACTACAGTTTATGGGAAATTTTTTTTGATGCCACGCAAGAGTATATATATATATATATATATATATATATATATATATATATATATATATATATATATATATATATATATATATATATATATATGTAAGTATCATACTATATATCAGTTTAGTTTTTTCGATTTTAGCCACTTTTCAAAATTGATTTTTGAGCTATCTAAAAATGAATGCAATTAACAAACAGTTGAAAGCATCAACTTAATTTTTTCATTTCAGAGATATGTTTAAAGTTTTCCATATTTGTTATAGATGTTTTGGAATATTCACAATTGTTGATGAACCGCTACGCAGGTCACTTGTCATTTAGAAACAGACTTTATAGACTGCAGAGCAGGTCACTTTTCACAATAGGGTAAACCCATATAAAATATATATTTTTTTAATGCAACCCATAAATTACGTACGCAGGTATGGGTAGGGGCTCACCCAAATGAATCATAACTTATTAAAATCTTTGAGTGATGTAAAAAGCAGTGAAATCTAAGACTTATGGCTGCATTTAAAAAAAATATATTTTACATGAGTTTACTCTATTGTGAAAAGTGATCTGCACTGCAGTCCATAAAGTCTGTTCCTAAATGACAAGTGACCTGTTCATCACCTGCACTGTATATATGTATATATATAAATTTTTATATATATATATATATATATATATATATATATATATATATATATATATATATATATATATGTATATATATATATAAATATATATGTATATATATATAAATATATATGTATGTGCATATATATAATATATATAAATGTTTAAACAAATATGTATAAACATATATATATACATATATATATATATATATATATATATATATATATATATATATATATATATATATATATATATATATATATATATATATATATATATGTTTATATATATGTTTATATATATATATATATATATATATATATATATATATATATTTGTTTAAACATTTATATATATATATATATATATATATAAATGGGCATTAGGATCTGCTAAAATTGCATCTCTTTATCAAGCTCGACACTTTCTTACTCTGGATTCTATTCTCTATCCCTATAAATCTCAAATCCAGCCTTGTATGGAATACTGTTACCATATCTTCTAATGATGCCCTTTCTCTTTTATACAAGGTGCAAAAACGCATTGTAAACATAGTTGGACCTGAACTTGCAGCCAACCTTCAACCATTATCACATCGTCATAATGTTGCTTCTCTTTCTCTTTTCTACAAATACTATAATGGGCACTGCTCTAATGAGCTAGTGTCTCTTGTGCTACCTACTAAAATTCATTTTCGTGTTACTCGTCATTCAATTAAGTCTCATCCTTTTTCTGGGAGTTGCTTTCCTGATTCATATAATTTGCAATCTTTTAAGTCTTCTGTCAATTGTTATCATGCTCTATCAATATTCATCTTTTTCTTCCAGTAACTTCCAGCTCTAATTAGCGGTTGCTTGCAGCCTTGTTTGAAGCGAAGATGTTGAAATATATATACACACACACACACATATATATATATATATATATATATATATATATATATATATATATATATATATATATATATATATATATATATATATATATATATATACACATATATACAGTGCAGGTGATGAATAAAATTGCTCAGCATGATATTTCGCGCTTGTAACTGAAACAAGCTATCAATGAGCACAATTATACATGCTCGGCATCAAGTCTTCGAGAGCGATATTTAGGGTTGGAAATTGGTTCCCATGGGGTCATCCATAAATTACGTACGCAAGTATGGGTAGGGGCTCACCCAAAAGCATATCAGCGTACAAGGGAAAGGGTGGACAATTTTTTGTTTGAACTTTTTTCATGTGAAGTCTGGGAAATCAGATGAAAAAGTTTTTGTTTTTCGCTATTGAATTTGTCTACCTATCAGAAGAAATATGTTACTGCAGCTTTGATAATAAATAAAAACAATCAAATATCACAGTATTATTAATTTTATAGCTGTCCTCAAAAAATTTTAACTTATTTCAAATCAAGTTTTCACAGTTGAGTTATTATTATTATTTTTTTAATATTTTTTGGTGCGCCAAGAAGACCTAAAGGTCTTGTCACAGAGCACAGCGGGAGTGCATTTAACTAGGAAGTTCACGCCTCCTTCTTTACAGTGACGCGAAAATATGTCCAGACCTCGTTTCGAACCTGGATCTCCTGCTTATAAAGCAGACACTCTAACCACTGCGCCACAGCCGCACAAAAAAGTTTAATTATTTTTTCATCTTAGAAATAAAATTGAACAAAAATTATTTATTATTAAAAACAATAAAGCAAAGGAGTGTAATGTTTATTATTAAAAACAATAAAGCAAAGAAGTGTAATACTTTTAATAAATCTTGCGGTTTAAAACTTTTGATTTTTCAAAATTCAAGTTTTAATTTCATAATTTAAATTTTCTATTCTCATTTTAATAAACACATTTTATTAGCAGTAATGACTTCATAACTTTCTATGCATTGTTTGTATAAAACAGTACTACTTTCTAATTTAAACTAAATGCATGATTTTATTATCAAAAATTATTATCAAGTGAATCATTTTTTATATACTTGATTATATACTTAATAAATATATAATATTATTATATAATTTGGACTTATATAATATTTTATATAATTTATATAATTTGGTTGTTTTTTTAATCAAGTAATAAAATTATTTTAAGAAAACTGTTTATTGGAATTGAACAATTATTTTCAAAACTGTAACTAGTAAATAAAAAAAAAAAAGAAAGAAAGAAAGAAAGAAAGAAGCAGATATAGA